AGTGCAGTATATTTATAGGCTGGGTTTAACAGTTTGCAAGAAGTGCTTCCAAACCTTATAAACTGTAGGTAAAGAACACTATAAATTATTTTGACGTTAAGGTGTTTGTAAATGTTGCAGTAATCATATGTAAATGGAAAAACATTCCTATAAAACAACCTACATATTAGTCGTTTTTAAGAATGGACAGGCATATAGTCGAAGGAGGAGCTAGGCAAAATACTTTCCAAAACTAAAATTGCTTAATTTCCCCTGCAAATAATTTTGAATATTTATTTTTTTCCTCAAGAAATAGAATTTTTATATTCATTTTTAATAGCCAATTTTAATTTTAACATGGAAGGGAACAGACAAAATGGATGCTAGTATTCTTAATAATTTGCCTAAAATAGATGTGCTCTAGCATGAAGTTATCACAAATGCTCACAAGGTTCAAGTACAGTTAGAGGGATTTTTGGAAGCAGAATAAATATTGTCAAGCAAATTAGTTGAACTTCACTTTGCTGTCACTTGTTGAATTGCCCTTATACTCTTGATGTCCAGAAAACAAAGCAAATCTAATGTAAGTACAAATAAACTGATTTAAACATGTATTATCTGTCCTAATTAGGATGACTAATTTCAAACCTAACGTACAATTTCAATTGAAACTATATTAACTGAAGTACTTGTTGCTTCTCTAACAAAATAAACTTGGCATGCTGTGACTTCAGGTGTGTAAGAATAATGGACTTCATAAAAGTCACGTCTAACTCAGGTTCTATTGAATGGACCAAGGCATTTAGGCCAAAATATGACTTGTCTTAAAACTTGGCATGGGGTGATGAATATCTTCCCAGTTCTAGAATCTGGATTTAAATCACTAGTCTGTGCTTAACAAATAACCACAAGGTGTTGAGTTCTCCTAGTGCAGTTATGGCAGAGGGAGCATCAGGTTAACGTGAGGCTTGTAATCATCAGTGATGCATGTGCACAAACAAGGAAGTAACCAAATATCACATTAATGTTGAGGTTTGTTTAAAAGCCTAGCTGAATAAATCAGTGTCCCTGTTAATCAAGGGTGACATTGGTAGGGAAACTTCAGTGAATAATACAAATCCCATTTTAAAAAAAATTAAGTTCTTTCTCTCTGAAGCCCCTTTCTAATGTGAAGCCTGCCATGGCATGCAAATAGGGCTTATAAATTGTTACATAATTTCACCATGTGAAGCACCAAAGTATTACTGTGCTTACCAATGTTACAGTTATAAACTGGTGATCATGAAAACTCTGGAGTTGTGTAATCATGCCTTTTTATATTACAGAAGCCTTGGAGTTCAATGTGTGTTCTTGACCTTGTGGCACTCTCCTTTTGTTTGTAGGCATTTTGGGTGAATTACATTTGTTGTTCAGCTGAAATTGTGCTTTGACTTGCTGCTTTTGTGAGTTATTTGAAAATGCCAAAATAGCCTTTCTACTTTGCAGTAAAAACTGTTTTTCAGATCAGGACTAGTCAGCTAAAATGGTGCCCCAGACTAAAGGCTCTTTCCTCTTGGAACTCTCTAGAGTTCAGCACCTGATACGCTGGACTTCTAAATTAATTAAGCCATCTTAAAACTCACCTTTCACAGTGAATTTAGAAATCCTGTTGTAACCTAGGTCCTATGTTTAAAACTGGCTTCAGTGCAGTTAAAGACCACGAGACGGGGTGTTAAACTTCCTCTTCTTCAGTGCCAATTACTAATAGTCAGAGAAGTGGTCAGCAAACAGCCATCTTCTTAACTATTTTGCAGAGATCTGGAATCGCCTCTGAGGTCACAGATCCCTGGGTGTTGCAATCCTTAAAGGGCTCCGTGTGAGTTGTCTGACAGTAGGTGGTATGTGGGTTAAGAGAATGTGTTTCTGTTGTGCTCCAGTGACCCGCAGGCTCTATGACCAGAGTGAGGAGGCAGACCGCAGTGCAGGGCCACAAACTTTGATTCACTTTCAAAGAGGCTCAGCACTTCGGGCGTGCAGTTACAGGCATGTCGAGCTGAGTGGTCTATTTACATTACCAGGCTTTCTTTTGGGGGGCCTGACTGGTTTTTCTGGGATCAAGAGGGCAATGTGAAGAGTACTCATGAATTTACTTTTTGTTAAAAGAACAGGAGTATTTGTGGCACCTTAGAGACTAACACATTTATTTGAGCATAAGCTTTCATGGGCTTAAATAAATTTGTTAGACTCTAAGGTGCCACAAGTACTCCTGTTCTTTTTGCGGATACAGACTAACATGGCTGCTACTCTGAAACCTTACTTTTTGTTAGTCACTCTTGTATTTTTATGCTGTGACAGTGCTGGAGAAGACAATCCTCTGTCCGCACTATGGGCAACAGAGAAAACTTCCCCATTAAAGTGCCTCGCTCTTAATATGAAGAGGCCATTTCTTGTGTGAGAAGGAATTATCTCCGCAACCTTCCAGCCTGTTGTCTCTAAGGCTGCTAGTCAGTTAGTGCCATTGTAGCTTTTTTTGTTGGTGAGGAGCATGTCTGGCCCACTGGGAGTATCCATGTGGTTCTGGGAACTGGCCACTAATTGGAAATAAACTGCAGTTTTTCAATATTTTAATTAAAGCATAAGCAGTGTTTGTCAAGCTTGATTGAGACTCAAAGATTGCAGTAGATATCGGACTCTATTTTGATATCCCAAACCTTATCTCCCCAGATAATACTGGTCACCTGTAACTTTAGATTTTTTTTTTAAGCTAACTAATTTTGTTTCACCAGAGAATTGCTGTCAGAAGTGAAAATTCAAAGTCCAGAGTTCCATTGTTAGGCAAGTAAAAGAAAACAGCATGCAGACTAATCCCATGGGAAAGACAACTCATGCTTTAACTCTCTCTTCTAATCAGGCCTTGTTAAGTAACTGATATTTTATGATGTAGTGAAATACTGTTACTACTTAATAAACTGCTACAAGGTAAAACATCACAAATTGCTTTGCTTCTGTCTTGGATGACTATACCTCTGAGACCTAGGGAGGTCTTTCTTCATCTTTAATTTTTTTTTAAATAAGATGCATCTCCTTTTCCTCAGTGTTGACAGGCTAAAACTTGAATCTTGGCTAAATCAGTGTAGTGTTGCACTCTTACCCTTGAAAGCAGGATTTAACTGTTGTGTTCACCTGGTCACAAAACTAGTCGACCACCTTAGTATTTTTAATAAATACAAAATTACCTGTGTGTGTTCGGGGAAAAAAAAATTAATGGACCTATTTGTTACCACAAACGGCTTACATATATTTTGATGTAACTAGTGTTACAGGAGGCAGATACTGTGAAGTCACAATAGAAGCTTTTCAGTGAAGGTTGTAGGACAGTTTCTGTTATGTCTGTTTTTTGCCAACCCACCCACTCCCAATTTCTGAAAAGTTTTCTGCTTCTGTACAGAATTTGTTACGACATTGTCCCTTATCTGAGTATATTTCATTTTGAAAGTGGGGGTTAGTTGGCCAAATTGTTTGTTATGGCACTTTAACAAGTGGTGATTTAGCACCTTCTGAAATGTCGTAACTTTTTTGTCCACTCATAACTTGGGAACAAATTAGAGTAAAATCTTCAGTTTTGTCTAGTCCAGAATCCTCAATGAGAGCAAGTAAGCCAGGTGCAAGAGTACTTGGTCATCAGTGTTCTCCAGGGGTGTGCGAGCCTCCACAAATGGTCAACAGACTACAAACTCTGTTCCACCTAATCTGAGCTTTTCAGTTAAATGATTTTAACCAAATACTAGGCTTCTAAGTTTGTAGTGGAGAATTTTAGGAGATGTACTCCTTCCATCCAGCTGCTCTCACTTGCTACAGCTGGCAGAACTCCAGTAATTCCTGACGGCTGCATCTCTTGCTGCAGGGAGGGCAGGTGATGGTGGGCAGCTTTTCTCTCCCCTCTCAGTTCAGTTTCCTGGGGTGCCCCACTCTTCCCATGTCCCTGAGTCTGAGCCTCTTTCCATCGTTCCTATGAGATGCAGTCTCCATGGGGCTGATAGTCACTTGCCAGTACTGCTGGCCATTAAGGAGAATGGAGTGCCCCTTTCTGATTTATTCCTGGGGCAGAAGTATGAGTATTCAAATTTGTACCTACAATTAACTGAGTGCAAACAGACATGCAGATTATGCTAAGAAACTGGACACTGACTAGTACCATTTCCCAGGAAAGGAAGAAGGGTATGACACTTACCTGTCTGCACTGCAGTGTGTAGGCACAATATACGTGATGTACTGGTATTCTAACAAGCCTACTGCTAAACTGCCTTGGTTCTTGGGTTTTATGTTTTCAATGGATTTGTGTTATGAAATGTGGAGAAACTAACTTGGGTTTTAAGTATAAATGTTGTGTTCCACACGTTGTCAAATGGGGGTTAATGTTTAATGGGACATTGTCAGGTCAAATTTGTGAAAAATAAGCTGCTACAAAACCAATAAAAACATTTTACATTAATCTCTTTTCAGTTCAGTGGATGTAGTTTCAACAAATATTACCTTGTAGTGTGTTAGCTACCCAAACAGTGCAGAATTGTTCTACTAATGAAGAACCAGAAAGGGAAAATGATTTGATATTGACTTAAACCAAAACAAAACCCACCACAGTAGTCTATTTTAATTGTCAAGCTTGAATACTCAATTTAAAATTACATTTCCTTGTCATGATTTATGCCAATAGGTTACTTTATTTCAGATTTAATTATAAGACATGTTTGTAACGGAGGTAAAGCATTTTTTTTAAATATGGCTTTTAACCTGACAGTTTTATTAATCCTAGTCTCTAAGGTGCCACAAGTATTCCTTTTCTTAATCCTTGGCACTTTGCGTGTTCAAATGGCAGTACAGCCATTGTCTAAGCCTTAAAATGGTGATTTGCAATAACACTAAATGCATACATCTGAAATCCTTGTTTATTCACATTTATAAATTTCCATGCTAACAAGTTTTTATTCAAACGCTGACATTAAATGAAGAGAAGAATTTTTTTTCCAATTCTCCACAAACAGAAAGAGCTAGCAGCTGATGAAGACTGCCCTAAAATGTGTGCCTACAAGTTGGTGACTATCAAATTTAAATGGTGGGGACTACAGAACAAAGTAGAAAACTTTATCCAAAAGGTAAGAGCTGCTTATTAAATACTCTGTGGCATACTTTTTTTAAAGTAGAAGTGAAAAGTTGGGAAATTTTTCTTCTATTAAAATGAAATGTTAGTGAAGACATTGATCCATTCAGTTTTTCAGCAGATCAAACCATTGACTTCTAAAGTCCCAAACTTGCAGCCACTTATGGCTTAACTTGACTTCTGTGAGTAGGTGCATTGATTTAATCAGAAGTACTCATGATAGTAAAGTTAAGCACATGTGTAAGTATTTCCAGGATTGGGGCCTAAATGTATATGGCACTTAGGAATGTCCTTTGCTTCCATTATTCTCTCTAGTTCAAAAAAAAAAATCTATTTACGTAAACGTTTGATGCTTTTCCAGCAGTATGTGCGCCAAAAGTCTTGTGAAGTATCTTATTTTTGGTTGCTACTAATCCTATAGTAGTCATGCTTTTTTTTGTAGCATTAAATTTTACAACAGCCACAGAGATTGAGGGATTATAATGCAAAATTTAACATCTACCAATGACTCAGTTGAAAGCTGCACCATAACTGGCTGGATAAGTATCCAGAGGGATCACTCCCAATGTGGTCAAAAAAACAAAAATGTATCTTACAACTTGGAATGTCCATATACTACTAGACTAATCAAAAAGTGAAAGACCCAAATGCAGAACAGCAATTATTGCCTGAGAACTCTCAAGGTAGAACATAGACATCACTGCTCTCAGCAAAACAAGACATGCAGGTGAAGGCCACTGGAGGGAAGGGGGTGATAGTTATACTTTCTTCTGGAAAGGAAAACCAGCAAGCGACAGGTAAATACACAGTGTTGGCTTTGCAATCAAAAACCTTCTAGTCAACTGCCTGACTGAGCTCCCCATTGGCATCAACAAGCACCTTATGACCCTCCACATCCAATTGGTCAAGAAGTCATTTGCCACTATCATCGGTGCATATGCACCAATTCTTGACACTGAAGAACAGAAACAATCTTTCTACACTGACCTTGATAAATTTTTGTCATCCATTCCAAAAACAGATAAGATCATCCTCGTAGGGGACTTTAATGCAAGAGTTGGCTGAGATTCTAACCTATGGAGTAGCACCATTGGGAAGGAAGGAGTGGGCAAGACCAATTCCAATGGCATCCTTCTACTCGGCAGATTTGCATAGCATGACTTTGTGATCACAAACATAGTCTTCAGACAAAGCAACAAGTACAAAACTTGGCAACACGCCTGCTCAAAACAGTGGCACCTCCTAGATGGTCATTGTAAGAACACAGGATCTATGAGATGTTGTGACAGGTTTCAGTTGGTCCTCCGAGCCCCTAGGGGAGATGGAGAGCTATGATCCCACTGGCAGGCCTCAGTCACACCTTTCGGGCGCTGGGGAATTAGCAGGGAAGGTGTGCCAGCACGAGTCTACAGCGCGCCCCCCAGGCAGGGGAGCATCGGCACGAGTCTGCAGCGCGCCCCCCAGGCAGGGGAGCGCCAGGGTACGGGAACTCAGGCCCACCCGACTCCACTGCGTTCCAGCCCCTGGGCCCGGTCAGTGGCGGGAGGCGAAGGTCCTGCTGCTGGGTCAGCGGGGCCGTCCACGTCCGCTGACCAAACACACCCACCCCACGGTGCAGTTCTGCCCCTGGGCTACTTCCTACCCGGTCTCTCCGGCGGGTCTCTCCGGTCCCTCCAGCTCGTCCGGGTATTCCGCTGCTGGCAGCTCCAGCTCCCCCTCTGTGTCGGACTCACGCCGGCCCGGGCTGCAGCCGGGCCCCTCCAGGTCCTCCGGGTATTCAGCGGCTGGCAGTCCTGGTTGCCACAGGCCTTCCTCCCGGTCCGGTTCCTCCTTGCCCAGGGCCTCACCTGGTTCAGCAGCAGGATCGCGAGGGAGCAGCCTGCGTCTGTCTCCCTCGCTGGTGCTCTCCTCACTGGGCAAAGAGCCCCGCCCTTTGTACTTCCTGTTCCACCCCTCCCCTTCCGGGGATTGGCAGAAGCTTGGCCTGGCCCCGCCCACTCAGGCTGAGAGGGTGGCTCTTTACCCTCTGGTTCGGAGGGGAGCCACCCTGGCTCCCTACAGATGTCCACATCATCTTTGTCATGAGAGAAGCAGACGATTGCTGGACTGGCCACCGTCTGGTGAGGTCTGTCATGTCCATCAGGATTGCACCGAAACGCAGAAAGCAATCCAAATCACACAGACGGCAACACAACATCCAAAGACTTCAATCCTCAGTGCACTAAGAGAACTTCCAAACATTCCTCAGTGAAAGTCTGGCTCTATGCACACTTGGAAGTGACAACACAAGTGTCAAAGAAGACTGGGAAGCCCTAAAACAGACCATCCATGAGGTTTGCGAGGAATCCATTGGTCTTGCTACCCTCCCACCCACCGTGATCAGGACTGAATTGACGACAGCATTGACATTACAACCCTTTTGGAGCAGAAGAGAAAAGCTTTCTGCAACTGGCAAAGCCAACCACTATCCAGTCAGAAGTAGAGCTCTTTCCATCTATTCAAAGCTGAAGTTTAAAGGAGGATCTGAGAAATCAAAAACAAATGGTGGGAGGACAAAGTAAAAGAAATCCAAACATTTGCTGACAGACATGATATGCGGAGCTTTTTTTGAGAGACAGAAAACCCCTCTATGAGCCAAGCTCATGTGGCCTCACACCTCTGAGATCCAAAGATGGTAGTGCCCTTCTTAAAGATAACTAATCCATCAAAGAGCGCTGGAAGGAACACAACCAAAAGTTTCTAAATCAAGAGTCGACTGTGACTGATGACACCATTGACTCCATCCCTCATCACCCAATCTGGGAAACCCTTGCCAACCCACTAATACCTGAGTAGGGCTGCAAAGCAATTAAACAAATGAGCAATAAAGCGCCAGCCCCTGATGGCATACCAGCTGAAGTACTGAAAGTGTGGGAAGAAACACTGACTAACAAGCTTCACTTGCTGCTCCTCAAAATCTGGTGCATCGAAGAAATCCCTGCTCACTTATGTAATGTGAACATAGTCACCGTTTTCAAAAAGGGAGACAGGGCCGACTTCGGCAGCTATTGAGGCATTGCCCTCCTCTCCATTGCTGGGAAGATTCTTGCTAGAATCTTACTGAATTGCCTGCTCCCTCTTGCAAAGGAAGTACTTCCAGAGTCCCAGTGTGGCTTTAGACCATCACAAGGCACAACCGACATGATTTTCGCAGCCAGGAAGATCCAGGAAAAATGTCAAGAACAACACCAGGAGCTGTGTGTGGCCTTTATTGATCTGACCAAAGCCTTCAACTCTGTCAACTGTGAGGCTCTATGGAAAATCATAAAAAGTTTGTAAAAGTAAAAGTTTGGCTGCCCAGGCAAATTTATCATTTTAGGACTTCTCCATGACCAGATGACTCCTCCCTCCTGTGCAGTGGCTCTACCTCTGAGCCCTTTGTCATCTGAACTAGCACCCACCTTTCCTCCATTTTCTTGGCAGCGATGAAAACATTAACCCAAGACTGTCTACCCCAGGGCATTGGCATCCTATATCGAATTGACATCAACCTCTTCAACCTTTCTCGTCTCCGTGCCAGAACTAAAGTAATATCAGCAACAATAACCCAACTCCAGTACACTGAGTGTGCAGCTGCAGCACAGTCATCTAAGGAGGATCTTTAAACAGCCCTTAATTGCTTCTCTGAAGCTTACAAAAGCCATGGGCTAACTCTGAACACTGGCAAAACAAAAGTTCTCCACCAGCCAGTCCCCGGTCAATCATCAGACCCAGCAAGGAAGATCTATGCCGACAAAGAAGAACTGGAAAATGTAGAATACATTGCCTATCTTGGCAGCCATCTCTCACAGAGGACAGATATAGACCTAAAGACTCAGCACAGAATTTGCTGTGCCAGCCTTGTCTTTGGCACAGACTACCTCGCCGGGTGTTCAATAATCACAGTCTCGGAACACGTACTAGACTTTAATTATAAAGTGGTTGTAATCCCAGCTCTCATCTACGGCTGTGAGACTTGGATGATGTACAGAAAACACCTGAAAAACCTCGAACACCAGCGCTTTCTTCGGAAGATCATCAGCATAAAGTGGGAGGATCATTGCACTAATGTCAGTGTCCTCACAGAGGCCAACATCTTCAGCGTTGGAAACCTGATTATCCAGCACCAGCTGAGGTGGAGTGGGCACTGTGTGTGCATGCCTAATGTACTCTTACCAGAACTACTGTATGCCCAACTCACCAAAGGAGAGAGGAAATGGGGAGGCCAAAAGAGAAACTTTAAAGACATCCTCAAGATAAACATCGAGATGTTGCATCGACACCACGCATTGGGAGACAGCAGCCCAGGATAGTGATAACTGGCGAAGACTTGTCAGAGAGGGAACATCCATTTTTTAGGAAAATCACCTTGCCCTGGTCGCAGGAAGACTTCAGAAAAGAAAGGAAAGACAACTGTCATGCAGCAATCATGGCTCAACCCTGTCTTCCAACACTACCTGCAGTGTCTGCCAACGAGCCTGTGGCTCAAGAATCGGACTTCTCAGTCACGAAAGGACCCACGAAAAATAAAACCTGTGAAAGAGATCGTCCTCGACCTTGAGGATCACAGACAACTAGTTTTGTCACAGTTTGCATTGTTTACTTCCTCTTGTTACCTGAAGCTGTTCTGGGTGAATTCTGGGCAAGCAGCATGCATTGAGATCATAGTACTAATCTGTGGCTTTCTTGCCTGTAGGGTATGACCAGCATGTTCACATCCAATATTCATCCCTCTGATTGATATGAACAATTTAGGAATTCCAAATTCAATGGGTGAGAGAGAGTGTCCATAATTGATGTGCTCTCTCCTGTGAAGAAATACAAAATGGCAGATCCTGTGTAAGAACTCTCTGTGCTGTGTAATTTATTCTCTTTATAAGGTAATGGATAAGTAGAGTGAAGCTTGAATGACACATAATAACCTACATACAGGTAGTGTGTTGCACCTTCATGTCAGTTATTCTGTACCATGGGAGAATGTGCTGGACCGATGGGTTATCCAAAACTAGATGTTTTGTAACTCTTTTTGGTAGGGTGTTGGCCTGTGAAGGACCAAAGTGGAGCCAGCTGCTAGTTTCTGTGCACAGGGGTTATTAGCTCTGACTGAGAATACACCTGCAGCTAGCTGCCTTAAAGCTGCATTTACTGCAATATGTACTATGGCAAGAAGATTGGAGACCGCAGCAGTAACTTGGAGTGAAACAAGGAAGATGGAGTAGCCCATGATAGCAGTGACACCTAGTAAGGACCAAAAGATGCTGGGACCACACTTGCTTTAGGCTTGTACTTGAGTTGTTCGCTCTCCCAGAAAGAGGAGCTGCACATGTCAGATTGCAAACCAAAAAATACAAGAGGATAAACCAAGCAGAAGATCCAAAACTGATTCCCTGATACATGGCCTCATCGCTTACATTCTAACGCATTGTGTTCTTTCCATCACTAACTCAAGTCAGTCCACTCTCCTTCACAGAGAGTTAGTCTGACTCTGTTTTCATTTATTGGCAGTAGCCATAACCCTGCTTTACGTAATCAGCATAGTTTCTCCAGAATGAAGCATCCCAAAGGATAAGAGTAGAAAAAATCCCATGAGTAATTACTGTTTACATGGTACCACATGTGTGCATGGCGTTTACAGATAACACTAAGGCAGTGCTCTTAGGAGCCTACTGTTTGTGTTATATGTACCTAACGTCGTGACCAGAGTGTTCCACAGTCTGGGGGGTGGAGGGAGTATCAATGAGGTGACAAAACATTCTGTGAGAGAACTTTGGGTTGCAACCTTGAGTAGTTCACTACTCTTTGTGTGTGTGTGTGTGTGTGTGTGTGGTACAACACAGAACTATACCTATCCATGTAATTCTAGCAAGTTAAGAAGCGGGGTCGGCAATTCTACAGTGAGCAAAGTTTGTGTCATTGATATGAGAACAGTATCTTACTTTGCAACTTGAAAGATCTCACAGCCCTACAAACTGTACAGGAATTGCTACAGCCACTTTTGAGTTGGACAGTTACAGCTCTTTAACAGAGCAATGCTACAAATGGTTTAGGATTGGCAGGAATGCACTATCCAAAGGAAATCACCAGGTACCTTAAATATAGCAGACAGATGGAAATACCCAAATTGGAACTGGTCAGGACATAAAGGCTAACCCCTCTAACTCCTAAGAAAAGGTGCCAAGGGATCCTTGATTTGACTTACGTGTGCACGGTTAAGTCTCTTAAAGATGTCCTTTGAAGCTGCCAATTGTTCCTTGCACCATACTGGGACATAATTCAGCTCTAATACAAGAGAGGAAGGGAGGAGGCTGGGAGTGTAAGTGTGCCACCTACTGAATTCCCAGTGCCATTTTCTTCTTCCTCTCACTTTACCACAGATATTTTTATTCCTGAGCTTGTACTGAGCTTTGGGGTTTTTTTAAAGTGGATTCTGTCCCTTGTGTAGCTCATGCATTAGTGTTTTAGTTCCTGTGTGGTATGTATATTCTGTCTAGGATCAGATTCAGTGAAGTAAATGTATTTTGGGGGATGCGTCCACAACCTTTCCAAGTAACAAAATTGCCAAACTTTTTTCTAAGAACAAATAGTGATTACAAAGTGCATTTCATTTTCCTTGTTGAGAGGCAGAGAAGAGATGTGAAATTTTTAACTTAAACCCAAGAGTCTGGGGAGGCTGGATAGTGCTATTGTGAAATAAAGAGCATGTGATTATATAGCTGCAACAGCCTTTAAAATTTAACACAATTCTCCTTTGGACATTTTTGATAAATCATGAGCATATTTTCTAATGCTGCTTTGTTTCCTTAAAGCAAGAAAAGAGGATATTTACCAACTTCCATCGCCAGCTGTTTTGTTGGATTGACAAGTGGATTGATCTGACTATGGAAGACATCAGGAGAATGGAGGATGAAACCCAACGAGAGCTGGAAGCGGTAAGAATGCTTTGAGGGCTGTTTTTTAAATGTACAGTCTATGGTAGTTGGGGCTGTATAAGAATCAAAGAAGGCTAAATAAATTGCTTGTGTCCATTTGTCCAACCCTGTGTGCTATGGGATAACGCTGATAAATGCTACGCTCTTCACTGGATCTCCTCCACAGAGCCACACTCGTGGAGCTACTGCATACCATGCTGCAAAGAGCCAGGAGTTGTTGAAATGTAAATGTTTCTGGTAAGTATCCCATGTCTTGAATGCCTGCACTGAGCATCTCTTTAATCTTTGTATTATATACCTAGTGCACGCAATCCCACAGCTCCCTTTTTACCACTTGTCAGTCAGACCTTGAAGCTGTCACCTCACTTCTGCATCGTAAGCGTCTTGTTTTGTTCAGTTTTCAAGTTATAATTAGAGTTGATTATTTTTCCCTTCAAACGTGTCTTGAAGTGAGTTTGTCACATGAGGACACTTTGACTTGTCTTGATGAGCGTGATAGACCTTGAGAAACCCATCCCTAAAAAAAAATCTGTCATCAGAGAATTAACAAGCACTGGGTGTTGCCTCCCTCCGTGTCTTGGAGGCTATGAATGCTCATAGTCTGACCTGTCTGTATGGTCCCAGAGGTGTCTGAAAGAAGTCTCATCCTTCAAGCAGTTTTATTCCTCTTCTTTCAGATGCTGAGGAACACAACAAGCTAGGAAAGGACCTTTCTGCTGCAAAGTCATTTTTCAGGGTGTGGTTCTCCCACTGTGAGCCTTTCTCTGTAAATTCTGAGCCTCATTCAGATTTTTTAGCATCTGCCAAAGCTACAGTTTGAACTTTGTAAGGTGCTTGCTGACCGCCTTACTGCCCAGCACCCATGTGGCTTGCGGTCTTCCTCCTAGCACTCTGGTTCTGCTCAAATATTTAGAGTAATGAGCTGTGAGACTTCAACGCATTTGGTCTGCCACAGACCCTGAAACAGCCTGGCTTTCTCACCACAGACCCGTACTGCTATTAATACTAGTTCTTCTCCAGTACAAACCGTGGCTCAGGTCAAGCAAACCTGCTTTGCTATTGATCCGAACGCTACCTCTGACTCTCGCATCCACAGTGTTACCCTGGGCACGTGTGGCTAGATCAACCTTGTACATTGCTGTTTGCATTGTGTGGAAATGTTTGAGGAGGAATAGAGATGTTTCTGCTCATCCCCATGAACTTGAGCCCACCAAACCCTCCTTACCTGGGAGTTTGAACAGGCTCTGCTCTGGAGACTGGAGAGATTGTAGGAATCAGTCTTTTAGCACAGGAGTCCCTGAGAACGGCTTTGATCAGCTCTTAAGAAAAGGCCAGATATCCTTCACTCTGCTCGCCCTTACAAGACACTTGATTCTTGGACCATTGGATGGGCACAGTCTTGTATGTCTTAGCCATATGGAATGCCAAGTACAGTACGTGACCACCTAATGCTGAGAAATGTCTCTGTCAAAATATTTTGACTTTTTTTGGATAAATACAGATCATTGGTTTCAGAATGGCCAATTCCATTTCCCCAATTGACCAAGGGTTTGCTAGACTTTTTTCAGATCACGGAATTGGGTATTGCCTTGATTACTTTTAGTAGTTAAGCGCCTGCTGTATTCCTGAGCCATCTTAGATGCCTGACTTTGCTTTTAAGAGTTAGCACTAGTATAATACAGGATGACTGGAATTTCCTAGTCACAGACCTGTAGATAGCAACAAATCCAACCACCTTCAGGACAAAATATGGAGAGACTATCAGACAGCCAAGGCCAGAGGCAGTTTCCAAAGGCCACATGACCAATAATGGCTCTCAGTAATAAGCTTTTTTCAAGCAAAATACCACAGTCAAGATGGCTCAAAAGCATTATGCATGGTTACTCGGACAATGTTCAACTGTATATTTGCAATGTGAGATGCATCTGTTTTGCCTTTGAGGGGCAAAATGCCCCATTTACTGACCCCCTAGAGGGAGTGGGTGGAAGAAATGTATTCGTCGGTTTACTCTGTTTCAAAATGCCGTCCCATATTTCCTAACTTTTAAGCCAAGGGAAAATAAACTTGCTGGCTGTTTTATCAACATAGCTGGGTGCAAAATGTCCTTCCTCTTCAAGTAAGGCAAAGGAAGGGGCTGCTTTGGCAGATCCCAGAAACACTTTCTGGAATAAGATGGATCTCTCCCTCCCCTTATGAACACTCCTGCCTAGATGCCAATATGAAAGTGGATGCTTGTTATGGAAGGACCTCTCTACATCAGAAATTATTTCTTTTGGAAATAGTTAAAGTTCCCCTTGTACTCCCGCTTTATCCCAGACTGACCAGTTTGGGAAACTGTTCCATCAGTAGGGATCTGTGAAAGAGGAAGAGCGGTTTCCTATCTGTAAGGAGTTCATCAGAAGGGTTCTTTTCTTTTTCTTTTTTTTTAACCACCTCAGTTCCTGATCTGGTATGGGCCAGACATCATCCAGTTTCTCTGAGAAAGAAGGAAATATAGTATGAGGTGTGCACACTGCAGGTATGTGTAGGACAAGCCTCAGATCATGGAAAACTTCCCTAAACCTTCCCCTTTTTGTGTCTGCATGGATTGTAGATGCTTGTCTTTGTGGAGGAGGTTACCCGTTGATCCATATCTCACAGCTGAGTAAGTGCTTTTTTGACTTTGCAAAAGTGATCTCAAAAATCAAATGTTCAGATTCACAAATGTTTCACATAAATAGAATGTGCTCTCTGATCTTTTACTTCCAGAAGTACATGCTAGTTTGTGAAGATTTTCCTCTAACTGGGAATAAAAGAACATGAACTAATGAGAAATTACCAGAAACTTTTCTGTTTGTGTTCACTGCCATGTAACTACTTTCACGTTGTCACTCTGCTAGCAAATACTTTAATCCCTAAAATATTTGCTGTGCCTTAGCTCTTATCTGCCATGCTGAAGTTAAACCTGGTTTTCTTGTTTTCAGGGTATAACTCCTAACTTCATCCTTTTTTTAAGGATTGTGTCTGTCCTGGAAACTGTCTTTTACTTCCCCTTTCATTCTTTGCAGAATAAAGCAGATGCTTTTGTTTCTCAAGATTTAGTAGATTTAAAGCTCCTCATAACTTACTAAATCACTTTTTTTCAAATGTGTACTCTGGTGACTGTTTAAAAAACATGTGGTCTTGTAGCTGGAATATCTTGTGGGCCACGTAGAGAGGGTTGGCTCCTGCTGTTAGAAATACTCTTACTGCTTTTTCTTTACTAACGTAATAGAGGTATCTGCAGGCACCTATAAAACACACATTCCAAGAAGATTTTTTGTGATGGGGTATCCTCATGAGGGACAATAACTTAAGGGCAAAGTGTAACCACGCATTGGGTCACCCACGATAAAGTTGAACATCCCTTTTAATTTTATCCCAAAAGTATTTCTGCTTTCCCCATGCCACATTTAACTAGCCACTTGCTGAAATATTGTGGTAAATGGTAACTTTCACTAAATCTCAAATACTTCAAGGCTGACGTTTACTATTATGGGCTTGGACCTCCGGAGAGAAGGGGGCTCAGTGATGAGATGCTCAGCATGATAGGAATGTCCTTGCACTTCCAGCCTTGAGCAGTATTCAGCTTCTCTGGTGATATAGTCCAGGAGCTCACGGGTGTCTGCAGTTTTATGTTACAAAGAAACAATTGCAGGAAACAGCCCAGTGTCTAATTGGGTTGGCAGTTTTGCATTCTCTTGTGTTGCTTTCTATTACTATTTGCTTTCTTTAAAATCTTTTCTCCTTTTTCATTTTTGGTGTTACTTTTCTTTACTTCATTAGATTCTCTGCTCCTTTATGTTGCCAGGTATTTTGGTTCTCCAGTTCCTCATCTGGATCTGTTTTCATTTTGTCACTTTGTTTCCTTTACTATCCATTGTTTGCTGCTTCCTGGATGCCTCTTGTCATCCCTGTTCAGTGGGCTTCTAGTCTCGCCTCACATCCTGTTCACAATTTTTCTGCATTTACCTCTATTTCACTCTTCTGTATGATTGCTCTCCTTATGTGGTCTGACTCTGTGGACAACCCAGAGCGCTTCTGTCATATTACGCGCTCTCCATCGGCTGACTGCTGGACAGAGTGGATCCTAATCAGAGCATAAGAAGGAAGCGGCTTGAAACTGCCAAGACTGTGCTCCCTATCAGCCCTGAGCAGCAGTGCAGGTGCTGTGTGCTTCAAGCAGTTTGGTATAGGCTTCAGGTGGCTCTTAGGAATTGAGGGGCTGCCTCCCTTTACGGCAGCTCTACATTGCTCACTCCGACTTTCCTGGCCTACAGAGTGCCCCTTACATCCTGCCAGCTCACACCTGCAGCGGGATCCGAGACTGGCTCGGAGACATTTAGCTCTCTCCTAATAACCTCATGACAGGGTCTTTATTTGATAGCTTACAGTTTTATTTTACATTTAGATGCGTAAGAAGGGTTCCGTTCGAGGCACAGTGGCTGCTGACGTCTAGAGGAATCCTCTGTAGGTTCAGAGGCAAAATCAAGCTGTGTAAGTGAACTCCTGGGAGAAAAAGGAGGAATCCTTTCTGGTGATGGGAGTTACTGGTGGAAAAAATATTCTAAGGCAGTGTAGCCAGTTTCCTTCTTGGGACTGAACCCCTGCTGCTGCCCCTGCTTTGACAAAATCAACAGCAGGACCACACCCCCAGGGCGAGGATTCATTTGAGACCTTCAGCATGCTTTTGGCATCATGATGGGCTCTGGGCACATGCTCAGTTCAGTCAGCAGGATGCTGTAATTGTGGTGCAAGCTAGCTGTCTCATCATACTTACGCTTGTCTGGTGCAAAGGCTCACAGTGCAGGCTCCACAGTTTGTCTCCTGACGTGTGCTTTGGCTCCAGGACACTTAGACTCCAAAGCCTGCAAGAGGCTTCCTGGACAAAGTGACGCTGTGCTGCTCTATGAGACCCTCTCTGTGGTTAAAGAAAATATAACTGCATATAGAAACCTGTACAATCGAAATGGGTGTGTGGAGGGGACACCAGTCTGTTTCCCAGTTCAAGAAAAAAAATCCCTAAAATGCTGCCACTAGGGACTAATTTCCTCAGAAGTCCAAACCTTTATATTCACACCCAGTACCTTAATGTTCATATTTCCTACTCTGAGCATTTTCTCACATGCTTTTAATGGTGGATCCTGTATCTGCAGCTAACTTCAAATCCCAGAGATCCAACGTGTGGGAGTGCTTTGTATTTATTTCCACTGTTTGTTGTCTGAGTTGCTGTTCCAGTCACAAGACTGGTATCCAATCTAAAAGATTCCCTAGAAAATTTGAACTGATACATTATGATCCAACTCAATGCTGATGAAGGTTTGACTGCACTGCACTAACTATTTTTCTTAGAGAATTAGTAAAATCTGCATTTTTAGACTTTAATTTTACTTGAGTAACTGTTAGCACTTATTGTACCTTTGTTTTTTCTACAGTTACGTAATCAAGGCCAAGTGAGAGGAACAAGTGCTGCCAATGATGAATGATGATGGATCTGACCTGTCACTTGCAGTGTTGATACACAGATGTGTGTGTGGATGCATGATTATCTGTATATAATTATATATACATACACGCATACTGAGGGGCTGTTACAGTTTCTCTAGGGTACTATACCCATCTTCAGCAAAGATACAAAGGAAACTGCTTTCATTATAAACCTGAAGCAAATACAGATTGACTGAGTAGTGTCATTTAAAGGATAAATTGACTGCAGAATTATGCTAACTGGTATGTTTCCTGAATGTCAGTACTGGACCAATTTATTCCCTACCTTTGTTTGTTTATTTCCCTCTTGAATCACTCTGCTATAATTTGCCTGTGTCTCATTATAAGCCAACAAATTCAGATAAATTAATTTTCAATTTTGTGTTTTCCCTATGTGATTTTGGAATAGGAACTATGAATGTATTTATACCTATTTATTTCTGGATTGTCATCTAAGTCAAATCGGAAGATTTTTTTCTATTAGTGAGAATTGGAAGACTTTTCCTGTTGAATGAGGAATACAATAATGGCCCAACTTTTACCCATTTTGCTGAAAGAAATCACCTGTTTTATTGGAGTTTTGTACATTCAAATGTTTTCTTCATTAAAAATTGGCAAAATTAAGGAAAAATGGCTTGTGATTTATAACAGTTTGAACTGAACAATTTTCCAGGAGGCTTTCAAACAAAGTAACTGACAATACTGGTATTGAGCCTTTAAAGTATATTTTAGGCTGTGTAGTTTAATTGACGGTGTAGCACTTCCCTAGAATGACGTTTATTTCTGAAATCATTTTTTTCAAAGTTTTAGTTTGGAAACTATGCAAATGGTCTCAATTTCACACAGATTGCTCAATGGAATATAACGGTGACTTTTAGCTCTTTTCATGTTGAAAATTCACTTTTAAAAAAGATGTTCACTTTCAGATATGATGAAAGTTTAAATTGTAGCATCTGACGACTTTCTCTGATTTATTAGAAGTAGACATAAAAGGAAAGATGGTATAATAAAGGCCTTTTTTAGATCTCAAATAGTAAGTTGTCTTCATGATTTTTTTAAAGAAAAATATTGCAATGGAGCATATCATAGATATATTATCAAAATACTTGTTAAATCAGGAACAACTTATTTTAGGACCACTAGTTAGGTAAGGTTTCCTCCCAGAAGCCTCTGTAGGGCGAGGTTTGCTGAAGGATCTCTGTCTAGTTTTTCAACCCCACACCAGACATTTGGGAATAATTGCTTATTTAATTAGCTGATAGCGGGAGTGATTCCTCTTCCTTTACAGTCAGCGGCAAAACTCTCATTGATTTCAAGGGGAGCAGATCAGGCTTGGAATATGACGAGCCCACCTAGTCCATCCTCCTGCAATGACGGTCAGGCACTGCAATGACTGCAGACAAGTGGACATGGATATTTTTTTTTGTATGTCTGTACTGTATTATTGCCTCACTATTGTCCATGCTACAAGGTCAGTCTTCAGTTAATCCTTCCTCGCCTAGCAATGAAAATGGATGTCTATTCTCTGTACCAGCAGAAGATTGGTTTTGTAAAAACTTTTAAACCATGTTTATATAACTTGCTACAAGGAGGGTTTTTGCAAATTTGTGAAACTAAGGGCTCAGTTCTCTTTTCAGTGCAGGAATGTAACTCCCGCTCTCACCAATGGGAGCCGGAATACATTCCGAGGAGGGAAAGGAACCCCTATCATTTCTATTGTTTTTTGGACTAGCTATGAAAATTTGAGGGAACTTTGTAGTGAATGTAAATGTTTAGTTTACTTTGGCAGTCTCTGATGTGAACTACAGTAAAACAGTCAATGGAATTTAATTAAATAAATTTGATCATAAAATATCCTTTGTGTCTTGTCTTAGGTATCATTAATGTCACTTTGTGGCTTTCTTATATTGCCGTCATTTTAATTTTCTCGATCTGTGGAAACTCTGTATGAGACGGTTCAAAATCTGATGTTCTTCAGTCATTTAAGCTGAAAAAGAAAAAAAAATCAAATGGTGATGTAAAGCCTGGAATTACTTGGAATCCAAATGGAGTAATGTAACTGCTTAGGTGGGATGTTATTGTTTGTTGTGGAGTGCACTGGTCAGCTGACTGTGTGTTGCTGCCGTGCTGTATTTTGTGTGTTCTGTTGATAACTGATACTTTTTTGCTGTTCACCTTCAGAATTATTTGTCTGGGAACAGTGGCACTGTCTGCAGTAGAAAATGAGCAATGTGTTTGAATCCTGATGTTGAACCTTCTTTCCTCCATCTCCCCAAGGAACCCCTCAAAGTAGCTACAACAGTTTAGTCACTGATGTGGACAGGGCCAAAATTTCTTCAGCCTCAATACAGAAAGCAGCAGCATCCCCCTCCTAACGATTTAGTCGTGTTTTCTGCAGGTTATTGCAGTAGCATTCAAAGGTCCACTGAGGAGCCCATAGTGCTATGTGTTTGTGCAGATGGAAAGGAAGACCTTTTCCATGCCCAAAAGAGCTTATGCTTTTGTTGCATCTTGTTTTAAATTACATTTTAATGGACAATAGTTGGCAGGTTCCTATTGGCACACTAGCAGAAGTGGCTGCAGGAGGGATTTCAAGGAGAAAGGGTAGTGACTTCACCAAGTTCAGGAAGAATGTTCCACATGTGAGGAGCGATATGGAGAAAATGAACATGCTTTGGAAGAAGCGGCTGACATTAATTTTTGTTTCTCTCTCATATCAAACTCTCAAATTATAGAGATGCGGGGCTGGGGAAACAGCCCTACTCCTTCAGCAGACACAGTATTAAGCTCTTCCAAGGCTGATACCTCATCAGGACTGGCATGGGAATATGACTACACAGGGACAAAAAACCTGTCACTGGCCCAGGTCAGCTGACTCAGGCTCATGGTGCTTGGGGTTGAAAAATCACTGTGTAGACATTCAGGTTCAGGCTGCAAGGGTGGAGCGTCCCAGACCTTGGGCTCTAGCCTAAGCCCAAACATCTGCACAGAGATTCTTAGCCCCACGAGCCTGAGTCAGCTGACCCAGACCAGCTGCAGCGTTGCCACAGTTTTTATCCCTGTATAGACACATCCTTAAAGTCCATCTAAAGCCTGCAGTAGAAAGTAGCCAGTTCATGCTAAGGACAGTGCATTGTATCTCCACACATAGAATCATAGAATCATAGAATATAAGGGTTGGAAGGGACCCCAGAAGGTCATCTAGTCCAACCCCCTGCTCAAAGCAGGACCAATTCCCAGTTAAATCATCCCAGCCAGGGCTTTGTCAAGCCTGACCTTAAAAACCTCTAAGGAAGGAGATTCTACCACCTCCCTAGGTAACGCATTCCAGTGTTTCACTACCCTCTTAGTGAAAAAGTTTTTCCTAATATCCAATCTAAACCTCCCCCACTGTAACTTGAGACCATTACTCCTCGTTCTGTCATCTGATACCATTGAGAACAGTCTAGAGCCATCCTCTTTGGAACCCCCTTTCAGGTAGTTGAAAACAGCTATCAAATCCCCCCTCATTCTTCTCTTCTGCAGGCTAAACAATCCCAGCTCCCTCAGCCTCTCCTCATAACTCATATGTTCCAGACCCCTAATCATTTTTGTTGCCCTTCGCTGGACTCTCTCCAATTTATCCACATCCTTCTTGAAGTGTGGGGCCCAAAACTGGACACAGTACTCCAGATGAGGCCTCACCAATGTCGAATAGAGGGGAACGATCACGTCCCTCGATCTGCTCGCTATGCCCCTACTTATACATCCCAAAATGCCATTGGCCTTCTTGGCAACAAGGGCACACTGCTGACTTATATCCAGCTTCTCGTCCACTGTCACCCCTAGGTCCTTTTCCGCAGAACTGCTGCCTAGCCATTCGGTCCCTAGTCTGTAGCTGTGCATTGGGTTCTTCCGTCCTAAGTGCAGGACCCTGCACTTATCCTTATTGAACCTCATCAGATTTCTTTTGGCCCAATCCTCCAATTTGTCTAGGTCCTTCTGTATCCTATCCCTCCCCTCCAGCGTATCTACCACTCCTCCCAGTTTAGTATCATCCGCAAATTTGCTGAGAGTGCAATCCACACCATCCTCCAGATCATTTATGAAGATATTGAACAAAACCGGCCCCAGGACCGACCCTTGGGGCACACCACTTGATACCGGCTGCCAACTAGACATGGAGCCATTGATCACTACCCGTTGAGCCCGACAATCTAGCCAGCTTTCTACCCACCTTGTAGTGCATTCATCCAGCCCATACTTCCTTAACTTGCTGACAAGAATACTGTGGGAGACCGTGTCAAAAGCTTTGCTAAAGTCAAGAAACAATACATCCACTGCTTTCCCTTCATCCACAGAACCAGTAATCTCATCATAGAAGGCGATTAGATTAGTCAGGCATGACCTTCCCTTGGTGAATCCATGCTGGCTGTTCCTGATCACTTTCCTCTCATGTAAGTGCTTCAGGATTGATTCTTTGAGGACCTGCTCCATGATTTTTCCAGGGACTGAAGTGAGGCTGACTGGCCTGTAGTTCCCAGGATCCTCCTTCTTCCCTTTTTTAAAGATTGGCACTACATTAGCCTTTTTCCAGTCATCCGGGACTTCCCCGGTTCGCCACGAGTTTTCAAAGATAATGGCCAATGGCTCTGCAATCACAGCCGCCAGTTCCTTCAGCACTCTCGGATGCAACTCGTCCGGCCCCATGGACTTGTGCACGTCCAGCTTTTCTAAAAAGTCCCTAACCACCTCTATCTCCACAGAGGGCTGGCCATCTCTTCCCCATTTTGTGATGCCCAGCGTAGCAGTCTGGGAGCTGACCTTGTTAGTGAAAACAGAGGCAAAAAAAGCATTGAGTACATTAGCTTTTTCCACATCCTCTGTCACTAGTTTGCCTCCCTCATTCAGTAAGGGGCCCACACATTCCTTGGCTCTCTTCTTGTTGCCAACATACCTGAAGAAACCCTTCTTGTTACTCTTGACATCTCTGGCTAGCTGCAGCTCCAGGTGCGATTTGGCCCTCCTGATAACATTCCTACATGCCCTAGCAATATTTTTATACTCTTCCCTGGTCATATGTCCAACCTTCCACTTCTTGTAAGCTTCTTTTTTATGTTTAAGATCCGCTAAGATTTCACCATTAAGCCAAGCTGGTCGCCTGCCATATTTACTATTCTTTCGACTCATCGGGATGGTTTGTCCCTGTAACCTCAACAGGGATTCCTTGAAATACAGCCAGCTCTCCTGGACTCCTTTCCCCTTCAAGTTAGTCCCCCAGGGGATCCTGGCCATCCGTTCCCTGAGGGAGTCGAAGTCTGCTTTCCTGAAGTCCAGGGTCCGTATCGTGCTGCTTACCTTTCTTCCCTGTGTCAGGATCCTGAACTCAACCAACTCATGGTCACTGCCCCCCAGATTCCCATCCACTTTTGCTTCCCCCTGAAGACATCTTTTGACCTGTGGCTGCTAGCCTTGTTCTAGTGAATTCTGTGCTAATGCTAGACACCAGAAATATTGTGGAGGCAGGACACCATGACCACTGTGGTCACAGTAATAGCAGTGTGCTCAGAGGAGCTGCTAATTCATGTGGGTTGTAAGGCGGGGATAGCCATGAGAATATTCCCATGTGTGTTTCAGCACCTGCCATGTGGGCAGTACTGTTGTGGGGTGATATGCCAGGTGACAAAGACCATGACTGTTTTTATTTATATAAGATGCTTGTCTAGCATTCTAAGTGTATGCATAAAGATTGAAATAACACAGACTCTTCAGCTCACACCTCCCTGCCCTGGTCTGACAGAAGCCTCAGTAAGTGGATGAGCCTGGAGCATGCCGTGAAGCACAGCACTGGGCTCTGCTAGCCCAAAGGGAATCCAATTACAGTGCTAAGGGCTTTGTCCTATGAACTCTGTGACCCCGTTTTTTAAATATAGGGCTATTGGATTGGGCACTTTGGTGGGTCTCTGCTGCTGCAAAATTGTGGGGGAGAAAGTGTGTCTTGGATAGACTAAACCCAAACCAAGCTAGTCTTGTATAGATTAATCAGCAGCTTCAGCTTGCACTGGGGAAGTAACAAAGTCAGTCGAGCCTTCGGCCTAGTGGTGGTTAAATGTGGGTGATGCTGTTCAACAGGTGTCAGCTGTGTTCTGTGCTAGATGGAGACAGTTACCTCCAGGCAAAGCCTCACATAGTAGGGGTAGAAATGTGGTGGAAGTGACTATGGGTAGCACTGGCAAGTTGGACACAATCCTCTAAATGCTGGTGGGAATAGGACACGAAGAGCAGTCATGCCCAGAAAATCTGTTGGATGGGTGAACCGCTATACCCATGATGTGGGCAGCATGTACTATTTTAAACAGGCAGGTATTACACCTGTTTCCTTCTCAATACTTCATGTTGCCTGCCGCGGGCACCTCAGCCTTGCCTGGACTAAGCATCAATCATCTTGCTTTGATCCAAGCCCAGTCTCCACCTGGTCAGTGTCCAAAGAACCCTGTGCAGTGAGAAATATTCAACTCTGCTTCAAGATGAAGGCAGCTTGGCGCAGCAGAGCACATCCATGGGTTCGAGACTTTGTGGGTAATATGGTGGAGGAAAGTCTCCGCCTTCCACGAAGTACAGGCTCCCAATATTGTGAGAGCAGTAGCATTCTTTAAACTCTGAGCACATTTTAAACTACCTCGTACGCAGGGTGTGTATACAACAACAGTCTTTGAGGAAGCCATAGGAGTGTCTGAGTCGAGATGCTAGTGAAGTTTTAGTAGGCCAGGACGATGATGCTATCTTTAATCTTACTTGGTATTTCAATAGTACCTTGCTGTTCTGTAGGCAAAATGTCTCTCATTGTTATATCAGCTGCCCAGAAAAGGCAGAAG